AATCTTAAGGCACATGAAAACCGAAGCCATTTCCTCCCCCATTTTAAGACACTGATCTCCATGGATCCCCAGGCAGATCCGCCTGCCGGCGGCGGAGGTTGCGGCCCTTTTGGACCAGCTCTGCCTGAGGAGGCGCATCTTTTGGTCAGACCAAATGCTCATGCCGCACTCAGATTTCGAATGGTAGCTTCCCCATTCTTTCCAGGGATCCTTCTTTCTGGAAAACCACCAAAAGCCCTAGGGAAATGGCGATCGGTTTTTGAAAAGAACGATGGCTGAAAAGAATGGGGAATCAACCCCTAGAAGATTGCTCAGATTGCTGACCTTTCAGTTCTTTGGGAACTGGTAGACAGTAAATTTGCACGTTGTGTTTTCTTTTTTTTCTCTTCGACACCTGAATCTTCAAGAGTGCAGTGGAAAAACATCCATGGAGGACAACTTGGAAAGATGCACAAGCTCGCTATCCCGCACGTTCGGCTGGCTACCCGTGAGAGTGAGCCTGGTAAGACAATTTCCATAGGAAGAGACTGGCTGTGCAGTGTGCAGTGTACAGATCTTTAGCCGGATGTGTGCAGTTTCAGATTGGTGCAGTCAGTAGAGTATGTTATGTTTGGCACTCACAGCGCACATGTTCCTTTTCGGCACCTTGTGATTGCTGCAGCTTACTCTGCATGTGTTAGCGTTTTCAGTGCCATGCTGGCAGCACACAATCTCATGCGCATGGAGTCCTGACCACTCGCAAAATGGTGGAAGCGGTCATAGCTGTCTCATTGGAGCGATGGCGTGAGTCTTGTTCAAGAGTCCAATGTTTGAACCCCTGGATAAACCCAGGACCTGGAGTCTCATAGTTATAGGTTGTAAAGTTAAAAGGGCGCTAAATATGGGTTAAAATTTGGCGGTCGGTGGAAAGCCCTTGGCAAGCGAACCGGTTTGCCCTTTGACAGCGTTGACTGCCACGCAAGTGTGGCTCGATGGAGGCGGTTTGGCATCCGGTCAGGGAAAACTGGCCACTCAGTCATGTGTACATCATTAGCGCTAGCGGGGAACTGCCTTTGGCCTGGCACATGGTGGGATTCGGCGTTTGGCAAACGTCTTTCAAGGTTTTCGGCGTCAATCTGGGCTGTAAAATTGGGGTTCATACAGGAAACTCGCCACAAATTGTGCCCGAAAACCCCTATGAACCCCAAACATCTGTGCCCGAAAACCCCTATGAACCCCAAACATCTGTGGCCGAAATCCCCTATGAACCCCAAAATCTGTGGCCGAAAACCCCTATGAACCTCAGCCCAGTGGTTATCTGTGGCTTAAAACCCTATAAACCCAAGCTTGTGGTTTGAAGACCGCGCGCCCCTTCAAAAGTTGCCAACACCAACTGTGACTTCGCCATTTTTGCAACATCTGAAGGTGCCCGTTCTGACTGGAAGCAGCTCCAGCGATTGATTATCAATCCCAGAGGGCAGAACCACCGGGGGCGATCCGCGTTGCAGGAATTGAACCTTGAGGGGGACTCTTGCGATGACAAATGCGAGCTTCGGAATCAATCAAATCATGTATTTCTCTGCATTTTCAGGGGTCCTTGCAAAATGGCCTTTGGAGACAGAAATCAGCGAAATCAAAGGTAAGCCTCAACCACGCCTTAATTAAGGCCTCGCTAACGATGAGCATTCCTGGGGTTTACCCAGGGGTTCCAACATAGTCCTTTTGACTTGTGGTTCTCCAGGCATGCTGTTCGCAGCGTGAGGTTCAAGATGCGCAACTTGGCCGCTGCTATGAGCCATAGGGCAGGGCCACCAAGGAGATGACCGAGCCGAAACAGACCACTGACCGCTACGGAGAAGTGAGTGACTTTGAAGAGGAGGAAAGCCAAGCAGGTCAGCAGGATGAGCCAGAGGAGACGGGACCAATTGTGACGCTGGCCCCAAGTACATTCACCGCAAAGCTGTCAAGCCAGCCAAGTAGAAAAAGCTCCAAGAGCTCCAACGTCTCTGATGGGCGCAAAGCAAACCTGGAAGCGGTGAATGAAGATGGAGCTGGCTATAGCAGAGCTGGCCAGGCACCTCCCGCCACCGCCCAGACAAAGCGATACGACAGATATGCAGAAGGCAGCGATTCAGCGGAAGATAGTGAGGATGATCAGGCTGCAGCACCCTCCAAGGCGGCGACACCGGGAGGTGCACTAGGTGCACAACCCAAAGCAGGTCCTCAAAGCGAATCCGGCCCCAGCAGAGCTGGCCAAGCACCTCCAGCCAGCGCCGCACCAAAGCCAATCGACAGATTTGCACAAGGTAGCGATTCAGAGGAAGATAGCGAGGAGGATGATCAGGCTGCAGCACCCCCCAACGCGGCGCCACCCGGTGATGCACAACCAAACGAAGGTCTTCAAAGCGAATCTGGCCCCAGCAGCGCCGCACCAAAGCCAATTGACAGATTTGCACAAGGTAGCGATTCAGAGGAAGATAGTGATGAGGATGATCAGGCCGCAGCACCCCCCAAAGCGGCG